GTATGTGCATAAATTTACATAACAGTTAAAAAAAAACGATTGCAGTGAAACAAGTCAGCTGACAAGCGTGGCTTTCAAAATGGTCTTGAGACTGACTGCTCTGTGCCTTTAAGAGCTTCTTAAGCATGTTATGTGCACATGCCTCACTGCAACCGTTTTTTTAACTGTTATGTAAATTTATGCACATACTCCCCCTTCTCATTTAGCCCTTTGCTCTGATGATGTTAACAGGTTGTTAACGAAAGCTCAGCAATTAATAAAAAAAGCCTTTTATCTTACATCCCAGAGCTCTTTATTTTCATCTGATTGACTTTAAATGTCCATACCTGGGATTCCAATATTCAAAATTATTAAAGACATATATATTATGTATATTGTAAAGCAAATAAATAACGATCACCAGGAGAATAAATGAGAAAAACATTTAATAAAACCGAGCTTTCGTCAGAAGCTTCCGACGTCGTCAGGGTTAAAAGCAGTCATTGGGAAGAAGTTTATATATGATCACTAGGCGCCTGCATCCAGCTTCTGGACCTGGCTTCTTCCCAACGACTGCTTTTAACCCTGACAATGTCGGAAGCTTCTGACGAAAGCTAGGTTTTATTAAATGTTTTTCTCATTTATTCTCCTGGTGATCATTATTTATTTGTTTTACAATATGAATATACCCAGGAGTCGAATTTTTACCCACATTTCTAACCATATTTTATATATATATATATATATATATATATATATATATATATATATATATATATATATATATAATGTGTGTGTGTACACACAAACATATATAATATATATTAAATTTTTGAATTGCTAATATTTGGGGCAACAGGATGCATAAAAAAAACCCCACTCAAAACACACATACACACACACACACATATATATGAAAATACAACTGCAGCAAGCTCTGAATGTAGTATTCTAGACAAGCATAAAGAGCCAGAACTCTATTTTTCTGTCTCCATGGAGATTATTAATTAAGCAAAAAGATAATATCAATGATTACATATTAAAGAAAAATTACACTGAATCTAGGTAATAATCAGGTCTCATGGAAGGGAAAAGGAACAAGACATGCTATAATCTGTTCAAAATAACCTGAAGTAACTTCCAAGTGTTACAATATTTTGAATGAAATAATTTACATTAATGTATAACCTGAATTAGCTTCCACCATTTCACTGGAGCAATCAAATCCCTTGTTTTTTATATGCATTGCATTGAAAACGGAACCGTCCTGGCCACCACCTTTGACATTTTTAATCACCCTGCTTGTTAGACAGTAAACTTAATGTTACACTAAATTCACAAAACAGTGAGTTTGAAGTCCACATAAATGATTAGAACTGGAAGGTACATTTCATTCTCTTCTCCCATTTTTATTTCTGTAAATTTAGAAATGTGTAATGTGTATCTTTGATGGAGATTGTATTTGATTATCCTATTGGCTTGATAATATCCATGAGCTTAATTAAAAATATCAGAGGTGAGAATTTCCAATAACTTTTACCCTTCTAGTTTTTTTCTATCTGAAACCTATAGGCATTCAAACTCTACATAGAGCAGTTTCCCAATCTTGGCAACTTTAAAAGTCACTTCAACTCCCAGAATTCCCTAGCCAGCATTGCGAATTTGCCAAGATTGAGAAACCTTGACATAGAGCAATGTAATTTATTTTTGGATTTAATTGCACTTCATACTAAATAATTTCTTTAACTATGGTTTACTGATTGACCATATTATGGGTCAGCATGATGTGGAAATCCAATCTTTATCATTATCAGACTAAAATTTCAACAAGTGAAATATTTTAATGTGTTTCCTACTTACTACTAGAAAACAATATTGAAATCCAGCTTCCATGTAATGGTTTTCCCTTGTAGAAAAATCAGAATACCTTCATATTCCTATATTATTCAGAGGATTAGTTAAGAAATGTCACTGAACAGAAATTGCCTGCTCATTAAAATTCACAGCACAACTCTTTCTGCTGTGGTAGGTTTCAACTGCTGATAGAGCAATACTTAAAAAATTGGCTTGGCTGCAAAACAGCTGTTCATCAAAGCCACCACTTACAAGCAATTGGTGATAATAAGACATCATTATGATGTTACTGGATGGATGATATATTGAAAGCTGCCTTAACATATGCTTTATATAGCCTAGGTCAGAGGTAGGCAACCTTGGCTCTTTTATGACTCATGGACTTCAACTGGGAGTTGAAGTCCACAAGTCATAAAAGAGCCAAGGTTGCCTACCCCTGGCCTAGGTGGAATACCAACTATAATTGTTGATTCAAATGGTTGACCATCTAGACCAGGGGTGTCCAACTGCCAGTCCACGGGCCGATTGCATCATGTGGAGGCTGCGCCCACCCCAGCTCCGGCAATGAGAAAAAAGTCATTATAAGTTGCGGCACATCACGTGATGCGGTGAGTTTGACACCTGTGATCTAGACCTACCTTAAACTGTAACAAAAACAGAAACAATCATGAATCAATTCTGTTGCAAGAAGAGTACTTCTTTGTCTCAAAAATATTGCAAGAGATGGAAGACTATCAATCCACCTAATATAAAAAGTGATTTAGAAAGTTCTTGACATGATTTCTGAGACTAAATAACACTTGTAGCCACTGTGTATTTGTAGACTAGCTAACTGTCAGCCTGGACATAGGGCTGACAGTTTAGTTCCTCATCTAACCTGCCATTAGCTCACTCCCTCTATCTTTGGAATGTATGCTTATGGTTGCAGAATTATGATGGCATAGTGCCAGAAGAACTCTGCATATGCATATTCTCCATTAAGCCCCTGTTTTCAAGGTGACTAGGTTGGTTGATATATTAGTGTATCTTAATATAGAATTTTCTTGAGAGATTATGTTTTCAAATACCAGTTTAGCACTTAGGCAGTAAAATTAAACAATAAGAGTTGGAAGGGACATTGGCAGTCTTATAGTCCAATCCCCTGCTCAGGCAGACCATACACCATTCCAGACAAATGGAAATTTCTTTTAAACCTCTAGTGATGGAGTACCCAAGACTTCTGGAGGCAAGCTGTTCCACTGAATAATTGTTCTGATTGTCAGGAAATTTCTCCTTAATTCTAGGTTGAATCTCTGATTGATAAGCTTCCATCTGTTACTTCTTGTCCTGCCCCTTCAGGTGCTTTGGAGAATAGGTAGGCCCCTCTTCTCTATGATAGCCTCTCAAATATTGGAAGACTACTATCATGTCATGTATATATATATACACACACAGGAAAGAGGTTAAACAATTCAATTTGCAGCTGAGTCATAACAATAACAAAACAGAGTGATTTAAGTAGCATTATTCATATTGGCACAATGTCATTCTTTTTCTTTCCTCCTATATAATTTTAGCATACTCTCTAAGAAGAGTGACAGTATTAAAAATAAGTTCACTTCCACTGAAAGAGAGAAACATATAGTTAATCTTGAATGGTGATGATGCCACCTTACTTTTCTATTCTGTCCAGAATAGCATCAAAATATGAAGGAAGAAGAATCTTATGCTGGCAGTCATTTGTTCTGCAGGAGAGAATATCTTTTATATATTTATATTTATAGGATGAGGTCTGCTTATTCTCAGCAATATTCCTAACTCCCATCCATAACATGGCCCAAGTAAATATGCAGCCAGCTACTACAGGTTAGGTCTTCCTGTATCCTAGGTACAAATTCATTCTCACATTATAAGTTATGCTGAACCACATTATAAGTTATGCATGAGGTGAACTATCATGACTACTCCTCTTTGCAATGGAAGATTTATTGAGAAGAACATCTCTGCACAGAGAGTACAGAGGACACTATCCTTCTCTCTTGCTTTGAGTTTTAAAGAACACATCCCTGTGCACTTCCAAGTGTGGCCTTACCAAGGCATTGAAGAGTGGTATTAATACTTCACGTGATCTTGATTCTATCCCTCTGTTAATGCAGCCTAGCACTGTGTTGGCCTTTTTATGTAGTATTCCTGGGAGCTAAGCATCTTTCATTTAACAAGGATTAAAATCTTAAAATTCTCCATCTTATTGACAAGTCAAAACCACAATTTGGTTCTTAATGATTCTTGCTTTATAAATGTATTGTTCTTTCAATTTGCTTTTGTTTTGGAAGGGAGAAAAATGTGATGGGGTAGCTGGAATAATGACATAAAATAGATTCAACATTGAGGATGACAATCTTATTGTAGTTTGCAAAAAGTCTATAAGGCCTGCAGCAAGGAAACCTGGCTAATATCTTACATAAACAGGGAATATATTCTGATATATTGATGGAAACAAGTTAGATGCACTGCAACAAAAAAGCTCACCAAGCTCCCATGACTTCCATAATTTCTTTTGCAAAATATAAATGTCATTGTTCAGGCAAACACAGTGTATAAAAGGGAAAAGAAGCATTAACTATCTCGTAAAATAAATTGACTTTCTTCCACTCACTCTTTCAAATACTAGACAACTCTTTGGGGTCTGAGCAGTCTAGTCCTTCATATTACTGCAATTAATATCAGTTACCACAAATAAAAAATGACAGTTTCTAAATAAACTCTTGCCCCAACAGGACAGTAGTTGAGTATGATCTCCAATTGCCTTGAATATACAATTAACATTCTTGCTGAGTAAAGGCTTTGCTTTTTTTTGTACAAAAAAAATCATAGTTATTTTCTTTCAGAAAGACTGCAGATCATGATTCCCATATCCGAATGACTTTCTCCTTTTTTTTAAAAAAAGCACAAAAATATATTTCCTGCACATATAACTAACTATATATAACTATATGTATAATTGTGGATAGAAAAAAAATATAGTTTAGCCATTTCTCTGAACAATTTTGCATATGCCTGGCTCTTTTTCAAATGGAAAGCATTAAGTACTGTATTTTAATCTCCTACCTTTATGTCCCAGTTGTTTCATTTATAAATAACCACACATTTTGCTTCTAAGAATAAGCAAAACAGAACCTGCTACTCACCATCAAATTTCTTGTGCCTCGATACAAATGTGGTGCGGACAAAATGGCTTGTCTTGTCCATCAAATTCTCAAATTCCAGTTTGCTTTGCTGGCTTAGTTTGTCTTCCATTTCTGATGTGCAACATGTGTATTCCTGAGGACAGATTCTCAAGTGTTCCCCTGAAAGCATAGGACATGAATGCAAAGCATAAGGAAGAGCAAAGACAAATCCATACATAGGGTCACATTCTGTCATATACTGATATATTCAACAGGCATGTTTAACAATCAGTCTCCACAAGAGAATTTTATAATTTAAGATGTCACTGTCAAGATAAAGGTCCTGTTCCTAGGGCCTTCTTCTCTCCTTACTCACAGGACTATAGGATAGAGTTTCCCAGTAGATCGTAGTTTAGTGATTTGTTTGAACTGGGGGAAGCTAATCTTTTAAGTATTTGTTATATTAAGACATGGATCAGGAAGGATTTAAGTTTGATTTTTTTCAAAAAAAAAAAATATCTGTGGAATTCTACCTGCACACTGAGCTTCCTGCAATGCATTTTATTGGCAATAGTTAGCTATTAAATATTAATATAGATATCAGCTGATTTCTTTTTAGATAATGCCAAATAGATAATTATGAGCAGAAATGGAAGAAAAGTTTACAATTTTAAGCTACACTGATAAAAATGCAGTGAAAACAGTAATGAAAGCCTTTGCATTTAATTCTCCAGATTATCCCTTGATGTACCATGCCTACGTCTCTGCACAGCCCAGCTTACATTAATGCAATTTGCAAGTGGAAGCCAATTCTTTAACTTATGAAATTAAAATGCTCAGTTATTACATGAACTGTGACTTTCCAATTGAAGCTGTACTCTGGTTGTCAGAAATGTTTAGCTCAGCCTGCCGGGAGCAAAAAAATTCCATCATTGTGTACAGAAATATAACCGAGGGCTTGCCTCTTCAGTAAGAACTGTAAACTGTTTTTATTTTGTGTATAATGAATATTGATGAAAATCTCTATGTGCTCTTAAATGGCAAAGCTATAAGCTAAGGGTTGATACCAATCTTCCCAATTTAGTGTAGCACAGATGTGTTGGCAGTACATCTTTTGGAAGTACCAACCAGCATTTAATCCCAAAATATCTGGGATGGGAAAAGTTATTTTTTTTTAATTCACAGACATCAATCTGTTCCACTTGATCAATCTGGATATTTAAAATCTCACAAGTTATGGTATTTAAATTATTGATTACAGTACCACATAGATAAATACCATATTTTTCCATCTATAAGATGCACCCTTGTATAGACACTCTGGCATGCGAGTTTCTCCGTGCCAATCAGCTGTTCAGCGGAGCACGAAACAGCTGAGTTGGCAAATCTGGGAGTTTGGCCGGCCGATGATCTTGCCCCCTCCCGTTAGTGGCAAGCCCACAGGGGCTTGACAACTGCATCAGGTGGCATGGCAACCCACACAGGCATGTCCTGGGCTGTGGAGGTTACCATTATTTTTCCGTGTATAAGATGCTGCACTTGTATAAGATGCACCTGATTTTTGAACAGGATGTTTGCAGGAAAAAATAGCATCTTATACATAGAAAAATATGGTAATAACGTTGTTCACAGAGGGATAGTGGCTTAAACATTAATACCTCATGTAAGATGACCTGTAACAATTCAATAAATAATTCTAGAGGAATATGGCGGAGAAATCTTGAAAGAGGCATTGGCAATAATGGTTTTAATGCAATACTTTCCCTCAGATTGCAGAGGTTTATTTGATTACAAAATAAAACTGTAGTATGATAAGCTTATAACCCTATAGTGCGTTAATGTAACTACAACCTCAGTTGCTACATTAACAATATTTATTTTGCTAATGTTAGGCTAAACAGGAATTTGTTTCTTGCTTGATAGCTTTGATTGATTTATCAGCATTCTGGTCTGTTTCCACTGGATTGAAGAAAATGCTCCATCATTTTCAGGCTAACTGTAATTGGCCAATAAAGTTGAGCATAAAAGTTTCTTACGCAGAACCAGCACGAAAGAGAAACTGAGATCATTCTTCGTTGTCTTGGCCTTCTGTATGGAACTATGTATACCTAATGCATAAAGAAGAATTGATATGGGAAACAGACTAAGATGATCTTTAACTAAAGGTTGCCTATTTTTTTTTTAGGCTGTGCAATGCTGTAGGTTCAAGGCTAAAAGGTGCCTTGGCTTGACGAGGAGCGTGAACATCCATCCTTAAATAGTTGCACTGTCAGCTGTTGTGCTGTCCCAGGAAAAAACAAATTTGCTTTCAGAAATTGCAGATAGATGCTGAGTTTGCACACCTGGAATCCAAAGCAGCCTTCTGTCTGAATCCAAAGTGCTGCACTGCTTTATTTTTTGTATTCTAATTATAATTTTGGAACATTTATATAGCCATCCATCTTAAATTGTGTCAAGAGTTGAGTGTCAAGAGTTTTAAGACAGCTTATCATCTGAATGCTTCCCTTTCAAAGTTTCATAGGCCTCAGGATCCAATTTCTCCATTCCTTTCTTGTCTTTCTCATCTGTTTTCAGATGAAATCTTTTCTCAGCTAGTGAAGTATTTCCTGTCGGAACAAAGTCATCAAAATTTCCTTTAGTGGAACTTTGATTCTAAAAGCTGCAAGAGAGATGCTAAACTTGCACTTTTTTTGATTTGGACTAAAACATACCGTATTTTTCTGTGTATAAGACTCTGTTCAAAAAGCAGGTGTGTCTTATACAAGTGCAGCATCTTATACACGGAAAAATAATGGTAACCTCCGCAGCCCAGGGCATGCCTGTGTGGGTTGCCATGTTGCCTGGTGCAGGTGTCAAGCCCCTATGGGCTTGCCCCTAACAGGAGGGGGCAAGGGGCAAGATCATTGGCTGGCGGAACTTCCAGATTTTCCAGCTCAACTGTTCGGTGCTCCACCAAACAGCTGATTGGCATAGAGAAATCCACATGCCAGAGCGTCTTATACAAGGGTGCATCTTATAGATGGAAAAATACTGTATTTCTTTCCTTTCTTTTGCCAAACCAGCTCATTTTCTTGGTCAGAGTTTCCAAACCTTTTCCTCTAAAATGTTATTTAATGATTGATCTGGATATTTACAGAATTATTTTGCAGATTGCAATTGTGCTTTCCAGAAATTCATGGCATTTTACTCCAGGAAATTCTTTTTGTTCTCTGCTGTTATGACACTTACTGAAAAGATTATATGCTAGAAGTGGCATCGAATACAGTTGACCGGCTTTTCTTTCCCCAAAGGGTTTCCCCATAGAGAAATCTGATTGCTTTAAGTTATGCTGTGCCAGCACTATGCCAGACAAAAATGAGAATTAATTCAGCCAGTGTCCCTATTAAAACTTGATAAACTGCAGTGTTTCAGATTAAAGATGGTAGCTCTCTCTTCTTTCTCTTTGTGGCTCATATTATATAAATCAAGTCCATCTTCTGCTGCAAATTCAACCTCTAGTGTTCAACCCCCAAATTTATTACTGTCCTAATCTTACATCTTTCTGCACTTGCTCCATTTTGACAAGCTTTTAGTACAGGTTTTGGTAAAATCTATATACCTAGAACAGTATGACAGTTTATAAGCATTGTGACTTTATGTTCAAATGCAGATAATTGTGGTTATTCAACTGCAACCTTCCTGTGAGGTCCCTATAATAAATGAAGCAGCCCTAAACATTTAATATTTTATCAAAGAATAACTGTTGTATTGTGAAAATGAAGTAGGTGAGGGTAGAAGAGAAATCTGATACATATTTTAATAAAGAGATTGCTAATTAAGATTTCCTAAGGAATCAAGCAAACAAGAAAGTAGATATACTTTGATCACTGTGCTTTTCGGCATTAGGCAATGAGGTTCTTCACGTAACAAGTTTGTCAAAAATGCACACAAAATGTATACTGCAAAGGAACTGTGTGTCAAATGCTGAAATATATATGAACAAGCATTTTATTCGAATATACTCTTGGCCAAGATTAGGGATGGATTAACCTTTCAATATGATTTTACTTAGCATCTATTTTTCAACACTAATTTTCTTTAGTTTATCCTGGGTTATCACATCAGTTTACATTGCTTTTCTAAAAGTATGGCTGGAACATTTTTTCAAATATACACATATAGGTACAGTATGTAACTTTCTAATAATTGTAGATGTATAACCACTGATCATCATTTAAGCCATAGAATTCAGAAAAAAAATGGATAGTCACAGATACATAGATGAATTTCTTATTGGAACTTACATGAAAATGTAATATAATGTAATTTTAAATAAGAGTGGAGAGGAGTGGAGATTGAAGAGTGGAGTGGAGTGGAGTGGAATAGAGAGTAGAGTAGAGTAGAGTAGAGTAGAGTAGAGTAGCTTTATTTTGCCACGTGTGATTTTCTCCAGTATAGAACCACTCAGTGCACATGCAAAGCAATAGAATAATAATAATGCCAATACAAGGGGGAGGGGAGAGTAAAGGAGTTAGTAGAATATAGCCACACTACATGAGTTTAAATAATAATAATAATAATAATAATAATAATAATAATAATAATAGTAATAATACAGCCACACTACACAAATTTATATACATAAACATTTACAGCACTGAATTAGGTATTTACCAGAGTGATGGCACGAGGGGAAAAAAACTGCCCCTATGTCTACTAGTTATTTTGGCATACGATGCCCTATTGCCAGCGTCCCCAATCCCCATGTTGTGTATAGCCAGCGTCCCAATCCCCATTCTGGTCTATGGCCCATTGAAAACTGGGCCACGCAAGCAGCAGGTGAGCATATGAAGCTTCATTTCCTCATGCATGGGAGCTAGGTTGCACATGCAAAACCATTTTCAGCTCCTCCCCACTGCTGCTGCCACCGCTGATGCTGCCAGTCTGTGGAGCCAGAATAGTTAGGGACCACTGCCCTATCGCATCAATAAATATAATTTTATTAGATATATAAATATGTAAATATTTTATACATTCATTATACGTGCATTTATTATATAACAATTATATAAATATAAATATTAATATATTTATATTTATGGATAGCTTGTATAGTTTTATTTCTATAAATATAAATAAAATTATATTTAATATAAATAAAATTATGTTTCATTTTAATGTAAAATACATTAAAAGGTCAA